AGTGGGAAAAAATGTCCAAGACATTGTTTACCGAGTCTCTGGTTAATAAGTCAATTTGAAGCTGTTCCATTTCAACATGTGAAAAAAAAACTTTCACCATATCTTGAATCACAATTACCTTTGGCATTGTGATTCCATTTCTAAATTAATGGATGAAAATGGAATACACTGGCCACACCAACCTAAAGCTCTCTCACACAGATACCTCTCTTGCTCTTTTTTCACATTCACACTTACATTATATAGCAGGGATATTGGTTAGGCCATCAGTACAGAATAAACGTACTGAATACATAGTGAAACATGTAGTCAGTCTGGGCTGTGACATTGTTTTCGTAGGCCTGGTAAAAAAAAAGATGCAGGTGAAACGTCAGGAGAAATGCCTCTAGAACCTGGCCCTATAACCCGAAAAAACCCACAAGAACCTAGTGATTCCAGCCATGAAAGCCTTCGACAATACAAATGTTTACTCAGTTTGGTGTGAAAGGCCCAGAATTGTCTTTGAAGACTATGGGAAATTGCCATGCAAACAACTCTCCAGGTAAACACTCTGAATAAGTAAGATCAGCCTGTGCAATTCTAACCACTACCTAATTTGTCTACAGAGAAAACAGACCAGGTTGTGGTCTGAAACAGCTACCTGGAGCTAAGAGGCCAAGAATAAAGCTTGGAACATGTTCTGACTAGAGCTCCTAGAATCCACCAGTCAGCATGCACAGTGTTATCTGTTTTATTGTTTTATTTTAATGTTTTTAATTTTTATTTTATTCAGGAATTTATCCCCCATGTATTCAGAGGGTTGTACTCACACAACAACTCCTTAAAATTTATTCCATTTAGAAAAATAGATTTAAGCAACATGAAATATATTCTTTTTCAGAATTGATTCTGTGTCTGTTACACGACCATTAGGTCATGACTATGCAGTGTCTTTTAACTTGATATAAGAAAACCACTGTTTCATCTGCATGCCTCATCTACAAAAAGGTGTTTTAAAAATCATTTACCCACACCTTGGCTTATTTGTTAAGCACTTTTGATATATTTTTCAAGGAATACTGAAGCAAGGTAGATATTAATAAGCCTTAAGTTTCACAATGAAGTGGAAAATTTTGAATGATAATGTCCAATTGTAGTCAAATGTAAAAAATAAAATTAAAAAAATGCCATGATGTTATTTAGATACTCATGGGAGAAAAGTGGGGAAAAATTAATAGCACAAATAACAATAAATAAATATAAGTCTAGAATTTTTAGTCAAAAAAATAGGAGCCCCCGGTGGCACTGTGGGTTAAACCCCTGTGCCGGCAGGACTGAAGACCGACAGGTCACAGGTTCAAATCTGGGGAGAGGCAGATGAGCTCCCTCTATCAGCTCCAGCTCCTCATGCGGGGACATGAGAGAAGCCTCCCACAAGGATGATAAAAGCATCAAATCATCCGGGCGTCCCCTGGGCAACGTCCTTGCAGACGGCCAATTCTCTCACAACAGGAGCAACTTGCAGTTTCTCAGGTCGCTCCTGACACGACAAAAAAAAGTCAAAAAAAATTGAAGGAAAAATCCTGGTTGACTTATACAAGCTCCATGTAAGTGCTATACTTTAACACTTATCAAATAAGGAACCATCCCCTCCTCTGAATAGAGTTGGGAAAGGTGAGAGCTTACTCTGTCCCAGGAAAGCCTGAAAAAAGCACCAATCTCCTCTTCTTTTTTCACCACAGCATTGTTTCTGACTGTTTTAAATTTCTAGGTGGAAAAATGGTGGCATGAGTGGCCAAGAGTGGCTGGCCATCTCAGACAACAATGTCACTTTTCTGGATTTATCAATAGATTGTTGCAATCCAGAGCAGAGAACGAGGCCTAAGATAACTATCCACCACACTTGGCTGTGAAAAACAATCCTTTTTTATTGAAGAAAAATGGTTACAAAATAAAGGAAAAATGCAAGTCAAAAGCCACAGCAAAATCAGCAAACATGAATTTAAATGGACAAAGCAAAACCAAAAGCCTCACTGAGAAATACTGGAACCTGTTAGCAATCCACTAACCGTACTTGATATCCTAGAAATCTTTCCATACTATGGCCAGGGAACCGGGAGAACTGCCAAGGTCTTCATCAATTCTGAAACGATGCCTGAACTGAGGGAATCAGCCTGGCGTATTGCAATTAAAACTCAAGAATCGGTTCCGTGAACCGGCCCACTGTTTTGAGGCCAATGTTTTTAATTCTTGAATTCGGGAGGAACGACGCAAACTGAGTGTTTTATTTCTGTCTTCCCAGATTTGACTCCTTCTGTTGTCATTACAGTTAACAGGTGCAGAAGGGAGGGAAAGTTCAAGGTCTCCCTCTGCAACATTCTCATTAACACTGGTACTTTCATTTTCCAAATCTACAGAAGTTCCTTCCTCACTAATTTCAGGAACATTGGCATTTTCCAAACCTACAGCAGATTCTTCCTCACTAATTTCAGGAGCATTGGCATCAAAAGGTACATTTCCACTAGCATCAGTAAATATACTTTCATTAGCATCAGGAGGAACAAATAGAGAATCAGGTTCAAGTTAAAACTCAGGCTGAACCCCAACATAGATCATATCAAAATCCATAATTTTGGCCTATCCTCAACTTATTCACAATTATATACAGAAATTGGATTAGATGAGTCACCTCTATATGACTCTGAAATATATCAGATAGTATACAACACAAGCCATATTCCTGGAAATAAAAAGAGAAAGAACATTTCTCATGTACATGGAGTGATTGGCTTACTATAGTCAGAACAGTAGGGAACTGAACACTGCAATGGGAGCTTTGATGGAATGAGTGATGCTAGTGGCACATGCCAGTTGGAGAAAAATAAAATTCCGACAGTTAACAGGTTTTTTAAAATTTCAGTATCAAAGTGGGTGGTTCTGTTATTGGAGTTGGTTTAAAAGTAGGTTGGATCCTGACTTAGAAACTCCTCGGGGGTGGGTGAAATTTCCTTATTTTATTCTTGTGTGTGATAATTAAAAATGAAACACTTTACTCTTTAGAGGTGGTATTTCAAAAGGGTTTTTCATTTTAAAATGTTTTGGTATGTTGTGATTTTCAAAAAAAGTTTTGCAAAGACACATCCATGTTTTGCATTAAATAACAATACTATGAAGAAGCTGAAGGAAATATTGCTGTCCTTCTTGCTTTCATTCAGACAAAAAACATTTCATGGTAGTTGCCTTTTTCAATGCATTCACACTGAAGGTGATAAAACTTAAAAAATATTATTTGTTCTTATCCTAGAGATCTACCAGATCCATCGAAATCAACTGAAGCTAGTCATGAAAGTCAGAAAGAGATGACTAAAACAAAAACTGATATGTATGATAGAACAGATGTCTAAAAAAACTAAATGACAGCAACTTCCCTGAATTAATATTTACTTTGTTTACACTCTTATGTTTGGGTGCTATGAGATGTTGACAAGTAGGAGAGGTATTGCCATCACTGTTTGTCACCACCCTCTGGTATTCACAAAAGAGAAGGAAGCATTAATACATGTTTCTCAGAAGCGCTTCAGATGTGATGCTTTTTATTTTACAGTTGAATAGAAAACTGTAAAACAGAAAAAGCATCAAGATAAATATTAATACTGTTGACCCTCACCCTTCACATATTTTTCTTATGGGATTTAATTATTTGCAAGTTTGGAAGCTACCTCAGTCACTGATCTGCAAGTCTTCTACTGTCAGCTTCCAAGGATGATCTGCTGCACAAACCTCTGCAGGATATTCCCCTTTCTCTGTCTCCTCCCTCAGAGTGCCTTGTTCCCAGACTCCCTCCACCAGCCTTCTACCTCTCTCCCATTCAATCATCTCTTCAGCCAGGTGGGCACCTTTGCTGATATTGGCAAAGACATTCAGCTAGAAAGCAGGAGCTCTCTGAAACTCCATGGCACAACAAACAACAACAAAGAGTTTTTTAAAAGATAGGTGCCATCTTTTTTCCCATGTAAATGTTTTTAATCTATGTTAGGAGCCAGAAAACCCTAGACATCATCTGTACACCCAGAAGCAACTTTTTTGGTCCCTATTTTGGAGTATGTTGCCCATACAGATGGGCCTTTAGTCACAGTAGCAGCAGTAGGGAGGAGGATCATCATTATGATCCTCATCATATATTTCTTACCCACCTCTCCCTGTATATTGTTGGGGAACAACAACAACACACCACATAACATCAGTTGATTGAGCATATGAAACAATACATGTAAAATTCATCAATAAATAATTTAGAAACATAATTTATAAATCATCTGGATAGACGAGTTGAAAGAGATTAGTCTTTACTACTGATTTAAATTTAGGCAGTGTCATTCCAGAGTATGGGGGTGATTGAAGAAAATGTCCTTTGGTTAACAGTCTAGTCTTGGCTGACTGAAGAAAATGTTTTCTAGAGGATTTGAGTGTACAAGGCAGATTACATGGAAGAAGGTAATCCTGTAAGTGGCCTGGAAATAAACCATGTAGGGCTTTAAATGTATGGCTACAATTTGTATTTTGTGTGGAAACCAGTTTGGAGCCAGTGGAATGATTTTAGAATTACCGTATATTCCGGCATATAAGACGACTGCGCGTATAAGACGACCCCCAACTTTTCCAGTTAAAATATAGAGTTAAGACGACTCCCATGCATAAGACTACACCTGCGTATAAGACGACCCCTGACTTTTGAAAAGATTTTCTTGGGTGAAAAAGTAGTCTTATACGCCAGAATATACTGTAGTATAACCTGATTACTCTTACATTCACCCGGAAGCAATCTGGATGTCATTTTAAAAAAAATAATTGAAGTTTGAGAAAGTACAACCCATTGCAGAAGTACAGCCTTTAGGTTAGTAGACTTTGTACTTCAAGGCAGTGGTACTTTGCATTCTTACACAATTTGTAAGACCTGAAAGACTTGTGAAATTCAAGTAGTCAACGTGATATCTGATCATAAATACTGATAAATTACTCACAATATTCATGAGGGTCAGAAGATATTTCTGAACGTGTTCTTTCCCATGGAATTGTACAACCGAGTCATCAACGCCTAAGAGCACTTCAATGTTGTAATCATCATCAGCTGCATGCCTTGGATATCTCCTTCTCCTTCGTGAGGTATCAATCTCATCTTTCAATACGTTCACCATGCTGTCTAGATTGCTCAGATCAGTCTCTGTAAGAAATGGAAAGTATAAAAGTACTTATCTGTCACATTGTACTTCACAGAGGTATGTTATAACAGCCCAGTGGCCGAGAAAGTATGGAGGTACTTATGTTGATCCACATCTGTGAATATTGTCCAAAAAGAAAATATCCATCTTTAATTTCTTTTTTGGGTCTGACATTCATTTCATGAATATTTCTAACTTTTCCTATAAAAATAGATCTTTAGACAGAATGAAACGATTCTACATAAAATCCTATCAGCATAAATTCAATAGAGGTTGAGTATTCCTTATCCAAAATGCTTGGGATCAGAAATGTTTGGGATTTTGGATTTTTTTTTTCAGATTTTGGAATACCCATATTTGCACACATGTACATTTATCTTGAAGATCAGACATAATACCAAACATTCAGTTCATTTACCGGTATATACGCAAGTATAACCCGACCCGAATATAAGCCGAGGCACCTAATTTTACCACAAAAAAACTGGGAAAACGTATTGATGTATAAGCCGAGGGAGGGAAATGCAGCAGCTACATTTCAAAATAAAAATCGATACCAATAAAATTACATTAATTCAGACATCAGTAGGTTAAATGTTTTTGAATATTTACATAAACCTGTAATTTAAGATAAGTCTGTCCAGCTCTGATTAAACCGTTATTCTAATCTTCTTCAATGTAATGTACTTACGCATCCTTCCAATAATAATAAAGAGACTAAAATAATAAATGCAATAATAATAATAATAATAATAGAGTAAAATATAATAACAACAATAATAATAGAGTAAAATAACAAATGTAACAATAACAATAATAGCAGCAGCAACAACAACAACAGCAACAACAGAGTAAATAAATAAATAACTTTGACTTGAGCATAAGCTGAGGGGGCCTTTTTCAGCCTAAATAAGGGCTGAAAAACTCAGCTTATATTCAAGTATATACAATATGTTTCATATATACACATAGTGCAAAGGTAATTTTACACCATATTTAAAATAATTTAGTGGATGAAACAAAAGTTTGTTTGCATTGAACAATCACAAAGTAAAGATATTGGATAATTTTGAATTTTTCAGTATATTGGATTTTAGAATTCTGGATAACTGATACTAGTAGCCCCAGCAATTTTATAAATCATTGAGCTATAATCAGAAGACACAAAAGCTTGAATGTATTGGCAAGAAAATGGGATAATTCTCAATGCCATACAGGCCAGAAAGGTTGCGGGACTGCATATCCAAGGCACCACAGTCAAAAGTTCCTGTGGTTCCTGTAACATCAGCTTGCTTTCACAAAAATAATTTAAAACTAAAAAAAAAGATATTTACACCATGTAAGATTTAATGTTTATGACCATGACATAGATTCAGTTACAAAAACCTTAGTGGCAACAAGACAAAAGACATTTCAAAAAACATGTATGCCAATTTGAAAGCTACTCTGAGTCCCCTTGAGGGTTGCAATAGAGTGGGGTACAAATTCAATAAATAAATAAAATAAATAAATTTAAAGGGTATTGAAGAATCCTAAGTCTTTAAATAAAAAATATGGCTAAGAAGAAGAGGTCAAGATAAGCTGCTGTTGAAATTCTGTGGGCAAAGGCATAACCTGACTGACTTAAATATTGTATTGTCGAAGGCTTTCATGGCTGGAATCACTCAGTTCTTGTGGGTTTTTTCGGGCTATATGGCCATGTTCTAGAGGCATTTCTCCTGACGTTTCGCCTGCATCTATGGCAAGCATCCTCAGAGGTGAGGTCACCTCTAAGGATGCTTGCCATAGATGCAGGCGAAACATCAGGAGAAATGCCTCTAGAACATGGCCATATAGCCCGAAAAAACCCACAAGAACTGAGTGACTTGAATATTGCTTTTCAGCCCCACTTCTCCAAATTCACTTTTTACAATGAAACTTTAAAATAATAGCCAGAATTTGGGTGTTGCCATCGACAGGTGTAATGATTTGGGTTGACATCCTATTAGTGATATACTCAGACATAATGTAACACGCTTTTTGAAAATGATTATTGTAGAGAGAGGAATTCACTTGGGCAAAGATCACCCTAATGCAGTGTTTCTCAACATTCCTAATGTCGTGATCCCTTAATGCAGCTCCTCATGTCATGGTGACCCCCAACCAGAAAATTATTTTTGTTGCTATTTCATAACTGTTAATTTGCTCTTGTTATGAATCATACTGTAAATATCTGATATGCAGGATGTATTTTCATTCACTGGACCAAATTTGGCACACATATCTGATACACCCAAATTTGAATACTGATGGGATTGGGTGGGATTGATTTTGTCATTTGGGAGTTGTAGTTGCTGGGATTTACAAACAAAGAGCATTCTGAACTCCACCAACAATGGAATTGAACCAAACTTGACACACAGTACTCCCAACTGAAAATACTGGAAGGGTTTCATGGGTATTGACCTTGGCCAACTGAAAATACGAGAAGGGTTTGGTGGGCATTGACCTTGAGTTTTGGAGTTGTAGTTCACCTACATCCAGAAAGCACTGTGGACTCAAAAAATTATGGATCTGGACCAAACTTGGGACAAATACTCAATATGCCCAAATGGGAACACTGGTGGAGTTTGGGGAAAATAGACCTTGACATTTGGGAGTTGTAGTTGCTGGTATTTATAGTTCACCTACAAGCTAAGAATACTGTGATCCCCACCAATGATAGAATTGGGCCAAACTTCACACACAGATCCCCCATGTCTTGAAGGGACTTGCTGACACAAACCTCCCTTCACCTCACACGTGCTTCCTTGTCCACACATGCGCACCATGCTGCCATGCGCTGAGCATGCCTGCTCTCCCCTCCCCACTTGGAGTCTCAGAAACAGCCCTCCCCTTAGCTGAGAGGCTAGCCAATCACAGCGGAGGAGGACTTTTGGTGGGAGGATTCGCCATCTGTTTCTAAATAGGAAGAGAAGGATAGGCGGAGAGTTCTTCAGCCTTCTCTGCCAAAGGGGTTCCTAAGACCATCAGAAATATGTGTTTTCTGATGGTCTTTGGCAACCTCTCTGAAACCCCCTCGTGACCCTCCCAGGGGTCTCAACCTTCAGTTTGAGAAACACTGCCCTAATGAGTCACCTTTTCCCTCCCCTCCCCCAACGTGGGATATAATGACCAGGGTGTCACAGGAATTGCATATGTGCCTTTCAGCTAGCCAAACAAAGACTATCTCATCCTTTGGAAGCTCCTAAGGATCTTCACGCTATCCTAGTGGATGTTTTTGCTACTGTGCTTCTTGATATAAAGGCCCCAGCCCCAGCCCCTCCCATATGAACATGAACATACTGGGAGGGCCTCCATGTGAGTTTTGCAGGAGTGGAAAGGGAAGGGCTCCACCTTGGTGGAACTTACATAGAGCCTCTTTCAATTTCACATATTGTCTTTGATCCCCTGCAAGAGAAATGTTAGGAATATCAGGAAGGAGAGAAGAACAGCACTAAGCAAATGCAAAAAGCATTACAGAGACCATATACAATACATTAATTCACATGACTACAATAAGCAAATTGGGATCACGTTTTTGTTATCCTCTGCTTATGCTTTTATATTAATATGCAAGGAATCTTAATAACAAGATGTACAAACATAAAGGCTATTATCCCACCCAACTCAAGAATAAGAAAAAAAGAGTCACAGGTTATTCGAAGTAAAAATAAATAACCTGAATGATATATTATTTATGCAAATATGTGTTATATACAGTTGATGCTTAACTAATTGTACTTCTTTCAAAAGCTAAAAGCAATAAAATTAAATTAAATACACTAAGGCTACTAAATTAATCTGTGCAACTCACCAATGCCTGACCCCAAAGAGAAAGAGAATTTAATTAAAAAATCACTTGATAGTGAAGTTTAATTTTCTTATATATTGGACAGAACCAAAGAACTATTTTAGGGAACCTTCACAGGCTTACTCATATTGTAGGTGATTTTCCTTTGAGGAAAATAATCCCCAAATCATATAATTCCTTTGCATAAAGGCATATGAAAATCAGGATGGATAGATTTGAAAACTAATTTATTTGGGATTGAGATCTATGTGTAAAAGAAAAGCTAATATCTGTGCCACCAACATTTTGTCACTCTGTAAACAGTCTTAGTTCACTGACTGAACTAAGACTACAAACATTAGGTTTCCTAAAATGAATGAACAGAGAAGATTTTGTTCTAAATCATCTGTTGTATTCTAACATAATAAAGCACTGCACCACACAAATCTATTAAAATATCTATTAAACGCTAAGGTTAGATGTGGTTGGTGTCTCACATATGCACAAGTTTTTCCATGGAAGTGGTTGGAGATCTCCACACATGTACAATGTACACATTCACTTCAATGTATTAGAGGAAGGGTTGAGCTTTTGGTACATGAATGCAAATTCAGTTATGCATCCCATTGCATATTTATTCATGAATCCAATTGGGTAAACAATTATGAAAAGTTGCCATTAAAAAATATTTGCACAACACAATAAATTGTTAACTTCGAATTATATGACCATGATGAAATCTAAGACTTTATACACTGAATTTAAGACAATGATGGTAGGCTAATTATTACTGCTGAAGAAGCTACATCTCCCATTGATTGCCAACCCTAATCCACAGTTGAAAATGACCGATGTCCTATTGTTTGAATGCCAAAGAAAACCTTTATTTCACTTTTAATTTTAAGCAGATCACCACAGTCCTAATACATTGCAAGTTGTCTGCACTTAGATTGCCCTTTAAATATATATATTATTGTTGCTTTTCATTTTCATCACATTATTTACACTTATTTCAGTTAGGTGCAGATATTCATGAACCTTTTGTATAAACATTTGTAAATCCTATTATTAGTTTTTACACTTATTTTCATGTGGTGCAATTACATCTAGGATAATTTGTATCCAGCATTCCTAGGTCTTATTCATTTCTTTTGTTTATAACTTAAACTTTTACATATCATTTATCTTATT